ATTTATTTATTTATTTTCCATATGCAAGTGTTGCTCACGGCAGTCTGGCACAGAAGCTGCCAAAAAGGCCAACCTGAATAGACCATGATATCACAAAGCAAGGCGATAAGATGTGTACAAACACTACCGGAGGTGGCTTCTCTGCCGGGTGCCTAATGCCTCAGCCACTCGGCAAAGGCCGATATACAGGCAAAGAGCGCTCGGTAAACAGTTTATCGGTAAAAACCTCTTTGCCGAGTGCACTTTATTAATCTAACACTCGGCAAAGAAAAGTCACCGTGACGACGTCTTTGCCGAGTGTCAAGGACAAGCACTCGGCAAAGGTCGCCGCTTTACCGAGTGCCACCGGCAAGACACTCGGCAAAGATAGCCTATTTGCTGAGTGTCCTGTCAAGACACTCGGCAAACAGGCAACCTTTGTCGAGTGCCTGGCCCGTGGCACTCCACAAATCTGTGATGTTTGCCGAGTGCAATGGCCTTTGCACTCGACAAAGCATGTTTCTAGATAGTCACTTTGCCGAGTGTCATGGCCATTGCACTCGGCAAAGTGACTAAAAACAGTCTTTTTTATTTGTTTTTTACATCTCATCCAAACAAACAGAAGATATATATAACAAACATCACCAACATCACATATATATCATCAACAGCACATATATATCACCAACACCACATATATATCACAAACGTCATATAGGTACAACATCTCTACCTCTACCTCCTATGACCAAAAAGTCATACAACCACCATTTGTGACACTTAGCTCACTAACACTTAAAGCTCAATGCTGAAATTTCACTAACAACAAACTCAGTCTTATCTCTAATAAGTTCAAAACAAAATACAGCTTCAATGAGCACTTTAACTTGTTGGCACCATCAGGTATGCTGCCTAGCACCTCGTAGGATGCCCCTCAAAATCAATATGAATCCAATTAGCGACAACTTTTAGCAAAGTTGGAGATAGGCTGCCAATAATATTATTCTAACTTTCATTTCTATAGTTGCAAGCAGCAGTCATATTTGTCAATTCACAAATGACGCCATGATTCTTCAGGCAGAATGCTGGGAGGCTCACAAATGGTCAGTCCAGTGTTCTTTTTCTGCGTACCATAGCCTATGTACAGTATTACTCATTATTTGAGCTCCAAAAATCCGGCAGGGTGTAATGATGTAATCCTGCCCAAAGCATACAAGTCCTATAACATAAGTGCTTAGTGCCCTAGAATAGCTAATTTGACAAGTTTTGCTACATGTTAGAGGATATGCTTATCTACAACACATATATGGATAAATCACTTAGAAAATTTCAAATACAAGTACTGAATTTGGCAGCCACCCCTAAACCAAATAGCCAAAAATTATCTAAAATCTAATCATAAATTGGAAGATTATTTGCTGGAAATTGTAAAGTGAAAATAGTTGTTTGATGGAAGCAATATCTACAGTTTCAAACTGATCTTGTTGATGCAGGTGTACAGATGTAATGCTGCCCACATTATGATCTAATATAAAATGCTGCCCTATATTTTAGATCAAGATCTATACAATTTAATTTTCTCCTACATATAAACACATAATAAAGAAATCCTACACGGTCAACTCAACTATCTATGTATATATCATAAGGAGAAAAGAGATGATAGCATATTCTTACAACATCAGTAGGTGTCTGAGGGCAGAAAAAGATATCTGAATACATCGAGTGATGTTATCATACTGCATATAACTGCACCCAAGTAAGAAAATCAAGTCAACACCTTGCAGCAAATGAAAAGCATGAATTCACATGAAAGCAGATAGTGAAACATACATTTTATTTAGCTCTGTCAATTAACCAAACTCTGCGGGAATTGGGCCTTTCAAATTCTTCGAAGAAAAGTTCCTACAAAAGTACCAACCTATCACAATTCTGTATAATTAACATCAACTCACAGAGATGCAAATATGCAATACTCTTATCAAAAAGGTAATGAAAAACTCAGAAACACTGTAAAGTAGTGCAATTTTGTGGATTGGCAGATTGTTTGAAAACAAAGTAGTGCAAGTAAGTTGATACCTAAAATTGGAAAACAAAATAGTACAGTAAATAGATTAGGCCAAAAAAGGGAGTTTGGTTATGGTTTTTCTTTTCCATTGACTCGTCTGCTTGTCAAGATCTCGGTGACACTTAGGAATAGAGCAGGAATAAAACAATAGCATCAGTAGATTCGCACAGATCTTGGAAGAGAACAGGGGTCATCAATATCAGTCCCATGGATAATATGTGCGCCTACAGGTGCAGGATCCAGTAGAATCTAAGTATATAACCAAGCAGCCGGCAGTGCAGTTGAATAATCGTAATTGAATCAAGAGAGAATAAATCCATGACATCCTCATCTGGATCCCCTATCCCCAAATAAGTTGCAGTAGCAACGAAAAATCCCACCCCCACCTGCAGCGGATCAGATCAGGACCAAGGGGGCCTACATAGAAGGAAGAAAGGCACACGCAATAAGGTGTGGTAGGCGGTCGGTGGTGAAGGGGCCAGGGCGCCGGTGGACAAGGCGACGGCTGGGGAAGCGCCGGGGACGTGGCAACGGCGGCCGGGGCGCCTCCTCCTCCTTCTTCCTCCTTCCTCCTTCTTCCTCCTCCTCCTTCTCTTCCTCCTTCCTCCTCTCCTCCTCCTCTCTTTCTCCTCCTCCTCCGGCGGCGGCGGCGCTGGCGCTGGCGCGGGCGTGCGTGTGTGCGTGTGTGCGGTGTGTGTGGGTCAGCTGGGCCGGCAGGTTAAATCCCCCCTTTGCCGAGTGCCCCCGATCTGTCACTCGACAAAGTTTTTTTTTTATTTTTTTTAATTCTTTGTCGAGTGCCACTGGCCTGGCACTCTGCAAAGAGGGTGTTTTTTTAAAAAAAAATCTTTGCTGAGTGCCCCTGATCTGGCACTCGGCAAAGTATTTTTTAAAATTCTTTGCCGAGTGCCACCCGGACTGGCACTTGGCAAAGAGGGTTTTTTTTAAAAAAAAATCTTTGTCGAGTGTCATACGTCCTGGCACTCGGCAAAGCGGTGATTTGCCGAGTGTTATTTTTTGACACTCGGCAAACCATATTTTTTTCCACTTTTGACCTCCAAACTTTTTCTGCAGTCCTCGTACAATACCTGGTACTCCATGTTCCAATGTGGCACATTTCTCGGACTTTATCTATATTTCTTTAATTTATTGCTTGAAACCTTCTCAAATTTTTGTCACAGCCTCCACATATGATATCATGACATCTTGATAAGTTTCATGATTTTCGGACTTCGTTTGTTTTTTTATAGAATTTAAAAATAACTCGACCGCAAGTTCATGGTCATGTTTCGTGAACAAGATATTCGAAATTGGTGGTCTGTTCCTAGATACGGCCTCATATTATACTAAATAACATGAATATCATTTTTTCATTCATTTTTTTATTATTCAAATGACTAGCGGTTATAATTTGAATTATCCAAGAAAATTCAATTAAATAAATTAAATTAAAGAAATATAGAAAAAGTCCGAGAAATGTGCTACATTGGAACATGGAGTACCAGGTATTGTATGAGGACTACAGAAAAAATTTGGAGATCAAAAGTGAAAAAAATATGGTTTGCCGAGTGTCAAAAAATGACACTCGCCAAATCACAGCTTTGCTGAGTGTCAGGAGAAGACACTCGGCAAAGGGGTAACGATGGCTGCCGGCCGTTAACGGCGGCGGCCCTTTGCCGAGTGTCAGGAGAATAACACTCGGCAATGACCAGTTTTGCCGCGTGTTATTTTTTGACACTTGGTAAACCATACTTTTTTTTCCAGTTTTGACCTCCAAACTTTTTCTGCAGTCCTCATACAATACCTGGTACTCCATGTTCCAATGTGGCACATTTCTCGAACTTTTTCTATATTTCTTTAATTTATTGCGTGAAACCTTATCAAATTTTTATCACAACCTCTACATATGATATTATGACATCATGACAAGTTTCATGATTTTCGGACTTCGTTTGCTTTTTATAGAATTTAGAAACAACTCGACCGCAAGTTCGTGGTCATGTTTCGTGAACAAGATGTTCGAAATTCCCGGATACAACCTCACATTATACTAAATAACATGAATATTATTTTTTCATTCATTTTTTTCATTATTCGAATGACTAGCGGTTATAATTTGAAGTATCCAAGAAAATTCAATTAAATGAAATAAATTAAAGAAATATAGAAAAAGTCCGAAAAATGTGCCACATTGAAACATAGATTACCAGGTATTGTATGAGGACTGTAGAAAAAGTTTGGAGGTCAAAAGTGAAAAAAAAAATATGGTTTGCCGAGTGTCAAAAAATGACACTCGGTAAATCATAGCTTTGCCGAGTGTCAGGAGAATAACACTCGGCAAAGACCAGTTTTGTCGAGTGTTATGGTTTGCCGAGTGGTCGGCACTCGGCAAACCACCTCTTTACCGAGTGCCAGTTGTTTGCCGAGTGCTTTTTCTCTGACACTCGGTAAACAACCTCTTTGTCGAGTGCCCGATAAAAAACATTCAGTAAAGTCTGGGACACTTGACAAAGAAGCCGTCTCCGATAGTGAAATATTCCTTGATAGTTTCCACCTTGCATAATAACGGAGAAAAAACTTCACCTCGTGGAAGCTGCCAAATAAAAATGCCAACCTGAATAGACCATGCATGATATCACAAAGCAAGGCGATAAGATGTTCTCGCGACTCGTGTATTTATAATAACACCCAGCTCTGAGCTCTCCAACCAACTGTCCCGGACAAGCATCACACAATTCACAACCACATACTGTAGAATGGAAAAAATGGCTATGTTCCATGCAAAGGTGCAACCCACACTATTGCTAATACTCCTCTTGTTCCAGCCGTGCCTCCTCTTCCTCCACGCAAATGCAGCGGTGCATGTGCATCATGGAGGTGTACATCTGAGATCCCAGCAAGCGGCCCTCCTCCAGTGGAAGTCCACCCTGCGAAGCTCTCCAGCGCTGGAATCATGGCGAGAGGGAACGAGCCCATGCAGCAGCAACTGGACGGGCATCGTGTGCGATACCGTACACCGCGGCAGCCGCGCACCCCTGGTGGTTACCGAGATCACCCTGCCAAACGCCGGCATCGACGGCCGCATCGGTGAGCTCAACTTCTCCGCTCTCCCGCTCCTCACGCGCATCGACCTCAGATACGACAACCTTGTGGGAGAAATCCCACTGACCTCAGATACAGCAACTCGCTCGATGGGAAGATACCATCTGAGTTGGGCAACATGGTAAACCTCAGAGTGCTGGAAATATCTGAAAACAATTTTACTGGTCGCATCCCTCCCTCCCTTGGGAACCTGACGAACCTGCTTGTACTTGCCATCCATCAGAGCAGCCTCACGGGGACGATCCCGGAGGAGCTTGGGAAGCTCACAAACCTAGAGTATTTGGAGCTAAGTAGCACGTTGTTAACTGGACAAGTACCAGAAAGCCTTGGCAACCTGACCAGAGCACAACTCTTTCATCTACCGGAGAACCTGCTATGGGGGCCCATACCATCTTCTCTAGGCAATCTCATGAATTTGGCTGAGATTGAACTTGGTGAGAACTACTTTAGTGGTGGAATTCCATCCTCTCGCGCGAATCTCACCAACCTATATGGACTCATTCTCAGTGACAATCAGCTCACAGGTTCCATTCCAGCAACTCTAGCAAACCTTAGAAGCTTGACGGAGCTGTATGCCTTCAATAACTTTCTATCAGGTACTCTGCCGCGAGGCTCGCTAATCTTACTGAGTTAGTTTTAATCAGCCTGGCTAACAACTCTTTCTCGGGGGAACTGCCCTCTCATATTTGGGTCGAAACCTACAAATGCTCGATGTTAGTGACAATAGTTTCATCACTGGCCCGATTCCGACAAGTATAAAATGATAGGAATTTATAGTACCTCTAGGTGCATATCAGTGGGTATAACTTGACTTAGACAATACCCTATTAAGTACCTCGTCGAGAGGCAGTAGCGACCATGGCGCTCCTAACGAGGTAGCAGCGATGTGGAGGCGCGGTCTAGTGGCGGCGGCGAAGGCGATGACGTTTCCCGTCGCTCACAGCGCACCCTCTCGATCGGTCTAGGGTGAGGACGTCGGTGGGGCACTGGCGGCTACGATGAACCTCGTCCCCTGTGCCCCGGCCTCCACCTTTCTCTTTACAGTGCTGCGCGACGGGGGCCATCAGCCAGAAGAACGGCTAGACGCCCCCGATCAGGATGCGGATCAAGGGCACAATTGACCGTTGGGCCAACTTGGTGGAGATCAACCTAACCTAAAAAAAACTGCACCAGCTTGACGAGTTTGTACATAACAAACAACAAGATAACAGGAGATATATCCAGCTTGGGGCCCTACCCACACCTAGTTTATGCAGACCTAAGTAGAAACAACCTTCACGACTATATGTCCAAAACTTTTTCTTCAAGCGTCAATTTAACAACGTTTGATGCATCAGAAAACATGACCACCGGAAGCTAGCTTGCCGCCAGAGCTATCGAACCTAGTAAAACTAGAGATACTTATCCTACACTCCAACAATATAACTGGTGCGATACCACCAGAATTAAGCAATCTAGTCAACCTGTTCAAGCTCGACTTGTCGCGAATTCAACTTTCAGGACATATACCACTCCAATTTGGGCAGCTGACCAATTTGCAGTACGTCGACCTATCCGTGAACAATTTGAGTGGGTTCATACCACAAGAGCTTGGGAGTTGCACTGGTCTGCGATCTTTGGTTATTAGCCACAATAGGCTAAGTGGAGATTTGCCAGTGACCATTGGTAATATGTTGGACCTACAGATTATATTGGATGTCAGTGATAACAAACTCACAGGTGGGCTACCACCAGAGCTCGGGAACTTAGCTATGTTGGAGGTATTGAACCTTTCCCATAATCAATTCAATGGGAGCATTCCGTCCTCCTTAGCAAGCATGGTTAGTTTGTCAACACTTGATGTGTCCTACAACAACTTGGAAGGACCTCTTCCAACGGGTCGCCTATTCCACAATGCCTCAATAAGATGGTTCCTTCACAACAAAGGTCTCTGCAGTAACCTCTCAGGCATGCCAATATGCTCTTCAACTCCAATAATAGAATATCACAAAGCAAGAGTTCAAAGCTTGGTGCTAGCTGTTTCTATCCCTGTGTGCCTCGTTATTATTCTCTCAATTTTCGTTCTACTTATGTTTTTTAACAAAACGAAAACAACACAAAAGCCTACAACTATAGATAAATGTGCCCTCAGTGTGGAATTTCGACGGGAAGCTAGTGTTTGAGGATATCACTAGAGCAACAGAAAATTTCAGTGATAGGTACATCATTGGTTCAGGGGGGTATGGCACTGTCTACAAAGCACAGCTTCAAGGGGAGCGATTGGTTGCAGTGAAAAAGCTTCACCAAACTGAAGAAGGGATCAGTGATGAAAAGAGATTCCTTAGTGAAATTGAAGTCTTGACAACAATTCGGCATAGAAGCATCGTAAAACTATATGAGTATTGCTCTCATCCAAGGTGCAAATTTCTAGTATATGATTACATTGATAGAGGAAACCTTCATGGTATCTTGGAAAATGAGGAACTTGCAAAGGAGTTAGACTGGCAGAAGCGAATTGCCGTTGCAAGAGATGTTGCTCAAGCTATCTACTACTTGCACCATGAATGCAACCCACCAATTATCCATCGTGATATAAAAAGTAATAACATCTTGCTAGATGCAGCTTTCAAGGCTTATGTTTCAGATTTCGGAATCGCAAGGATTCTAAAACCCGATTCGTCTAATTGGAGTGAATTAGCACACTACTGGAAACGCGTACTTTGCCGAGGGCCTGAGGCTTTACCGAGGGCCAAATATCGGGCACTCGGCAAAGATACTCTTTGCCGAGGGCCAGACACAGGAGCCCTCGGCAAAGAACGGCCCTCGGCAAAGAGGTCTTTGCCGAGGGTACGGCCCTCGACAAAGACAGGCCCACGGCAAATCAAATCTTTGCCGAGGGCCTAGGCCCTCGGCAAAGTAGACCCGTTTGGTCACGGCGGCCATTTCCCGTCAAACTTTGCCGAGGGCCACCCGTTAGGCCCTCGGCAAAGGTTCGGCAATTTTTTTTAAGTCTTTGCCGAGGGCTCCAGACCAGGCCCTCGGCAAAGTTTTTTTATTTTTATTTTTAAAATTCTTTGCCGAGGGCCATGGGTCAGGCCCTCGGCAATTTTTTTTTTGGTTTTTTTAGCCCAGTTTTTTTGTGGTGCTACAATACATTGTTTTGAACTCAATTTTAAAATTTAGGCCAATTTTGATTTTGTTTTGTATATTTCCTTAATTTATTTCGATTCTTTGATTTTTTTTAATATGTCAAATTTGAACTGCAGGTGCATGGAATATTGCAATGTAGTGTTTCGAAAAATGTTATTCATGTTAATTGGTGCATGTTGAGTCCCTATCCACGAGCTCGCATCAAATTTTCATGCATCTTGTTAAGCGTAACATGGCGACCGACTTACTTGGAAAAGTGTTTTAAAATTATATAAAATCCATCTGAAGTCCGAAAATCACGAAACTTGGCGAGATGTCATGTTATCCACATGTGGTATGTAGTAAAAATTGAGAAGGTTTGTCGAAGCGAGTTTCGGCGTCGGATGCACAGAAACCCGGACATATCCACATCACATTTAGTCCCACTCATGTGGAGATGTGCCTATTCCGACATGGATTTCATGACACCTTGACAAGTTTCTGACAAGATTTTGGACTTCGTATGTATTTATATAATTTAAAACACCTTTTCACAAGTTTCTCGTCATGTTACGTGAAGAAGATGCCCAAATTTGATGCGAGTTCGTGGATAGGGACTCAACATACACCAAATACCATGAATAACATTTTTGAATCACTAAATTGCATTATTCCATCCACCGCAGTTCAAATTTAAAATATTCAAAAAAAATCAACGAAAAAGAAATAAATTAGGAAATATATAAAAAAAGTCAAAATTGACCCAAATTTAAAAATTGAGTTTTAAATAATGTATTATAGCACCACCAAAAACCGAGTTCAAAAACTAAAAAAAAATTGCCGAGGGCTTAGCCCTTAACCCTCGGCAAGGGATCTTTGCTTGAGGGCATGGGGCCAATGGCCCTCGGCAAAAAAAATAAAAAAAAAATACTCCAGCTTCTTTTTTTCCTTCCCCTCTCTCTGCTCCTTCCCGGCGCTTGTCGTCCCTCCTCACTGCGTGCCCACCCCACCGAAGCGCCAGCCGCCCTTCCCGGCGAAATTCTCACTGCCAAGCACCGCGTCGCCTTTTGCTGTGCCCACGGGCGGCACATCGTCCTAAGGCGCGAGCCTCGCGACCCTCACGGTGCTTTCGGCGCGACGGCGGCGGCCGTCGCCTGCCCGCATCGCATCGCCGCCTCCGCGCTTCCCCCACCGCAGTATCTCGCCCTCCGCACCCTCTCCCTCCCGGATCTTGCTCCTCGCAGTGCTCTACGCGCACGGTGCCGCCGTCCTCGGTGCGTCAACCGGCGTCTCCTCGCCTCCGCCATCTCCTTCACGGCAGCTCTAGGGTTTCCCATCTCGATCCGGCTCTGATCTACATTTCTCGTCCCCTTGACGCAGGAAGATATACAGCGTGTGCACGCCGAGGCCGCCGCACGACTGGTCGCAGCAGCTCTACCACAGGTACTGGGAGCCGTTCGTGGAGTACATCGACTCCACGGTGAGCCGCCTGTTCATAATGGGTCCAGTTGCCTATTTACCCTTACACTACACACAAAGGTTCTTCTTAGTCTAACCATGCTCCTCACAAATTTCAGATCATGCCCGAATCTTCCATACCATCCATGTCTGTTGGCTGGATCTAAGACCTCCTGTCCCCTTCGCCTTATTCAGGTAGTATAAGCTTCCTGCTGTGATTATTTGGTCCGAACTCTGTTCACCTTCATTGTGTCTTCCATGCTGCAAATTATGACTGCTAGCTTTCCCTTTCATGTATTGCTTGCACGACTCACCAATAGCTTGTGATTATATCACAGGCGATGACATACTTATCAACAATTGTGCATCATCTCTCGGTTCTATGCTTGGCGGTGACCGTTCTCCGTTGTCGAGTATTTAACAAACTTTCACATATACATTACCACCATGCACATGCTTGTGACTTGAAGCAATGACCAAGCGCATATTAGCACATGCTTGTGACTGAAGCGACGACCAACTGCATTTTATTTGCCCTCCTCTTTGTTTTTGTTTTCTTAATTATCTTGTTATAGTGGCATAAATTAATTTGTTCTATCTTAAAAAGTAAGTCGATGAAGGGCGGGCCCTTTTTTAAAAAAGTAAGTCGATATTTTTCATTTGGCTTTTTAGTTTGTTGGCCAAGTAGGTAGAATCTGCAATTGTGAGCGTGTCAAAACTTCATTGTCATCTTCACCATCCTCCCCCCTCAGATTTGGTCTTTGCTCTGTACCTGAGATGGGGGACCAACAGATTCAGTTTCTCCCTTTTGTAGGTATATCTTGCTTTGCCTTTGCGTCTCATTTGTGCATGCTTCTATTGTGCAGCAATAGCCTTTAGTTGCTCTGTTTTTTGTGTTTCCTCACGTTCTGCTTGCCCGGCCAGTCTAATTTCAGACTGATGTTATGTGTAGCTTTTCCCTCCCTTTTTTTGCGAGTAACGGCACATTGTTAATTACAAAACTCCCTTTTTGCTCCATACACTCCAATTTACAGCAACGGTTCCTAATATGCTTGCAGGGAAGTATCGCAAGGGTAATTGTGTGCAAATATTTGCATCTATCATTTATGCAATATTATGGATATGCTTGTGCTCAGCTAAAGCAGCAGCTATAGTAGTACTTCGATATCTTACTCAGTTGGCTCTTGAACTACAAGAAACAAAAGTAGTTGCTCCTTTTGTAGGATTTACAGATGCTTTGGTCACACTAACACTAGTGTTGTTAACAGATAATCAAATAGGATGAAAAAAAAGTCATTTGTGCAACTGTTTTTTTCTTTTTCCTGTTACCAATCTTAAGATAGCAAAAGATATTAACAAGTTAAGGTAGTATCTGATCAATTTAACAAGGAAAGAAAGGAATGAAAAATGAATGACTTGCAAAAATATCTGTACCAACATATCTTTATCTAAGAAGTATCAGACTTGAAGTGAAATGAAAAGAGTTCGAAGTAAAATAATGGGCCAATGTCTGTTTTCCATAGTCCGGACTAAGCGCACCACACTCGACAATGTCTCTTGGTGGATTTTACAAGTAGTTGTCTCTTGCTACATTCAATTCCTTTGAATTTCTTTCCATTTCCCTTTATTCCAAATACATTCTGTAGTAGCTAACTGGGAACTGCAAGTACACATACCGTCCCTCATGTTGTTTGTTCCTATTTGTCTCTAATTTACATCAAAACGAGTGCAAGAGGTCTCATGACAGGCCATCGAGCGATTTTTTTTGCAGTTTTGGAAACCTCCCGTCTGAGGGAGGTTCTGCCGAAATTTTAACTTATACCCTTTTTTTTGCAGCAAAGGACGTCAAAGGAGCTTGAGTAGTCGATTGTCCTCGTCGGTATTTGCGACTCTCCACCGCCCGACTCGCCATCGCCTTGCCGCTACCACTGTCTCCACCGCCACCTTAGGTATAAACAACCTCTACTCCACATATCTTTGTGTCGTGAGATCGTAAACCGATTAAGCGTCTCCCGTCCGAAAGAGATACGATTGGAGGCATGCGAGATCACCGTGTGTATCTCGACCGTCTGTTTCGGATTGTCCACGTTTTTGGACAGCCAGCGTGTCGTAGATGAGGTCGGTTTCCATGCTCCGCTCCGATCCGAGCCAGAATTTCGGCAGCACCTCCCCATTGTTCTCCGAATACACAAACTTCTTTGCAGGACGTGTATTGGGAGAACATCGGAGAGGTGTTTGCCAATTGCCTCTCGAATAGGAGCGAGCATGGAAACCGACTCATCTACTGATCTGTGCTGGTGGAATAGGATCTATCCTCACCTATTAGACGGTAGGAACACCGGCTAGGTGCGATTGATGGTTACGTTACTTTCGTGATGTATTTGTCAAAGGATGGATGACCGTCGGTGGATGTACAGGCGAAGAAAAGTCGAACGATTACGACGTGGATTGGGTGAAGAGGACGGATGACTTCTTGAAACATGCATTTGGCGGGTGTAGCTAAAGGGCATTCTCTAGTTTGGTGTCCGTGCGTGTGCTTTGTGACAACAGGAGAAGGGTGGACAAGCGGACCATGGGTAAACATCTTGTGTACCATGGTTATCGCCGGGCTACCACCGGTGGATCTACCATGGTGAAGCCGATCGTGTCGAGAGAGGGAGGTGGTGAGACCACGTCTCGAGCCTTTTGATGATGATCTTTGGGGTAGCGGACATGATAGATGGCGCTCACCAAGCTCGATTCATTGAAGGACGTGACAAGGAGGAGATGGAGGCAAACGTAGAAGCCTTCTACAAAATGTTGGACTCGGCGTCTAAACCCCTTCACGAGCATACAAATATTTCTCACCGGATGCCATTGGGCGTGTGATGATGAAATTTGAAGGCGAGAGTTAAACCCGAGTCGAGAAGGCTTCGATAAGATGTTGATCGTGTTTGGCACCATGCTACCGAAGAACCACATTCGCCCCCAACTTGTACGAGTCAGAAAAACTCCTTCGTGCGCTCAAGATGCCATATGATAAGATACATTGTTGTCCAAAAGGGTGTGTCCTATTTTGGAAAGAACACGAGCATGCAAAGTCTTGTCCGAAGTGTGGATCCTCCGGATACCTAGAGGTAGTATCTGGTGATGGCCAAAAGGTGCAGACTTACGATCCCGAGAGTCTTACGTCACCTTCCTTTCATAGCGAGGATCCAACGACTTTTCATGACCGAGGAAACTGCGAAGCAGATGACATGGCACAAGAATGGCAAGCGGTACAATCCGGACAAGATGGTTCATCCATCCGATGCTGAAGCATGGCAGTACTTTAATGATCGACATCCACGAGAAAGCGGTGAGGCTCGGAATGTGCGTGTATATGCTTATAGCAGATGGATTCAATCCTTATGGATTGATGTCTTCCCATACACATGTTGGCTTTGTGTTCACTATCCTCTCAACCTCCCCCATGCATCGCCTTCCAACAACGAGCGTATTTTTTGTGCGTTGATAATTCCTGGACACCCGAGAAGTAATATGGGAGTGTTCATGGAGCACGTGATTGACGAATTGATAAAAGCTTGGGGAGGGTATGGACATACGACCGAGCTACAAGGTCAAGCTTCAAAATGTACGTTTGGTATCACTACTCTCTGCATGATTTCCTGGCGTATGGGTTATTCTGCGCCTGGTGTGTTCACGGGAAGTTCCGTGCCCGATGTCTGCAAGAAAGGCTGAGGTTTATTTGGTTGAAAAAGGGTGGCAAGTACGGTCGATGCGCTCGAGGTAATTCTTGTTTTACTCGTCGTAAATTAATATTCTCACACTTGAGTTAGTTTTGCATTACTGAAATATTGGAGTGCAATATTGCAGGCCCGAACAACGAGAAGATTTGGCAGCAGATCACGGCCCTCCTTTGCTCATTGGAGGCCGAGCGGGCCGCTCAGGAGGCCCAGGAGGTCAGGATTGCGAAATGATGCAAATCATGCAAGCTCTTGGGCGGAAGAAAGGCGGGTGTGCTGTGCAGATGTCGACTCCTCCGCCTCGAGTGCCGCCGCAGCGTTTGCAGCTACTCACATGGCGTTAAAGTTCACTTCTCGCTTGTGTGACATAGAAACCCGAGAGAACACTAGCTCTTGATTTGCTTGTATGACATAGAAACCCGCAGACAACACTAGCTATAAAAAATTTGATAGGTTTGTGTCTAAATACTAAAACTGTAGTCCTAGAATAATTACTGCAATCTCACATAAGCATATAATTGTTTGTGCAGCCTCAGTCGGCGGGTTCTAATAACCCCCCTCGTGCATCACCTGATTCTGGAGGCTTACACCACCCTCGGCGCAGAGGCCGGTGTTGGGAAGGTTGGTGACTTGAGAGGCAGAGCGAGACGGTTGGAGAGGTTGGCCAGCCTCAGTCGGATTTGAACTTGTGGACTTGACACTTGAGTTAGATTGTGGACTTATGGAATTGTTGAATTTGGACTTGTGATGATACATGTGATGATCTATGTGATATCTGTGAGATATATGTGATATTTGTGAGATATATGTGATGATTGTGATATTTGTGGGATATTTCTGCTGTTGAATATATATATATATATATATATATATATATATATATTTTGTCTGCATGGAAAGCAAGAAACAGGTGGAATGTTGAAAATTTTCACTGGTCTTTGCCGAGGGCCTTCACCATAGCCCTCGGCAAAGAAAATCCCAGGAAAAATTAAAAACAGGTCTTTGCCGAGGGCCTTCATCATAGCCCTCGGCAAAGAAAATCCCAGGAAAAATTAAAAACAGGTCTTTGCCGAGGGCCTTCACCATAGCCCTCGGCAAAGAAAATCCCAGAAAAAATTAAAAACAGGTCTTTGCCGAGGGCATTCACCATAGCCCTCGGCAAAGAAAATCCCAGGAAAAATTAAAAACAGGTCTTTGCCGAGGGCCTGTATGTCAGCCCTCGGCAAAGACACCGTGGAAAATAACCGCGAACCTAACGACTACTTTACTTTGCCGAGGGCCGCCGTTAGCCCTCGGCAAATACTATGCCGAGTGCCCGATAAAAGGCCCTCGGCAAAGAGTCCTTCGCCGACGTTTTTTTTCCCGAGGGTTCTTCACCGAGGGCTGCCCTCGGCAAATCCTTCGCCGACGGCTGAAGAGCCTTTGCCGAGGGCTTCAGGCCCTCGGCAAAGACCCTGCGTCCAGTAGTGGCAGGAACATATGGTTATATAGCCCCAGGTACGTATTCATGTGCTTCTTGCACAAAAAATAAATTCTTGTTTCAACATGCAAATAACCAATGATATTGCAGTTTATTTGCTGCCACACATTCGGTAATATTAACTCTAGGGATTTACTTTAATGCAGAGCTTTCATACACATCAGTAGTGACGACAAAATGTGATGTCTACAGCTTTGGTGTGGTTACCCTGGAGATTGTGATGGGGAGATACCCAAGGGAGCTGCAGACCTTTGCTTCCATTGGAGAGCATCATGAGCTTGCAGTGGAGGACATGCTGGACCAGCGCCCATCATCACCAACAACGGTGGAGCAGGAAGAAATTGCTCAGCTTGTTGAAGTGGCATTTTAATGCCTGAAAACTTCACCTCAGTCAAGACCAGAAATGCAGGAAGTCTATATGAAACTGAGTCACCACTACCCATCGTATGTTTCTGCCACACCTTCTCATGCAGTTACTAGAAGTAGTGGATGAAGTGTAAGGTCATTTGTGTTAGTCCCAAGCATTAAACCCACAGCATTCAACAGGAGCTAATAAGAGTTGTACTGGAATCGTGATTTAGAGCTTTATCCTAATAAAAGAAACAAATATCAATATTGAATAATGTCGAACAAAGAAGTAGTGTGCGCTGACTTGATGTACCAAATTATAAAATCAAGAGAATAATACTATTATTAGTGCCTTTTTTTTACATCTGCCTCAGTTTTATTTCTTTCTTTCGGAAGTTAGACATGCGTTTTTTTTAGGAAATGTGGACATGGTTGTTTTTCTTCTGCATGACAGCATATAATTGCTGTGAATTGCTTGTAAATTGCTGTTATGGATCAACCAAAGCGGTAGCACATGACCAGTTACTACAGCCCCTTCCTGCTCAAAACAAAAAAGTTACCCGTGCGTCCCCTTGATGAATAACATGTTTCGTGAGCCATGGCATCATACTGCACGAGCTGTGTGCATGTGCATCATGCGCATGTATAATGAGTGATAGTAAAGTTGTAGACAGTTTTTTTTTCTTAAAAAACATCCTCTCTTGGATCATCTGTTTTATTAAGCATCTTTTGTTGAAAGGCAACCAGTGTTTAAGCATTCAAAGCAAGAGCGTTGATATTTAAGCATATTGAATAACCATATGGGACATGCGTTTTTTCACATGGGTTATATTGTTTACCTTGAAATTTCAACCTCTATAAAGCTCTATTAGCATTTTATAAAGAGCATAGCCATTGTGCATCTCATCGTTTGAGGGAAGAACAACTGGTTCTTTTCCAGTGAATGGCAGATTTGTTCAGGTTGGAACCAAATGTAAATCACTTGAAAGCTCATTGTTCTTATATTACTGCTAGGCCTAGGCTTGCTACTTAAGGCCGCAGTCCCCAGGTGAACTCACATATAGAAGAGCAAAGGTGGCTCTGCTTAGGCTCATTTTCTCTATTTTTATGATCAGCTGTTTAGCTGAATAACTTTATAAAAATTTGGCTGTGTACGGTTGTAGAGGCTAGAAAACATATTTTTTGTAGTGAAATACAGGTGCCATGCTTAAACTTGCCTCATCATGCTATTTAGGTTTTATTGACTTTCAAACTACATTGTACACCAGTGTTCTTTAGGTCTGTAGGTCTACAATGCACGTCTCAGCCACTCGATGCTTGCATGACATCAGCGTGGCATGGAGGGCTTGTTTGGGTTCATGCCCTCCTAGGCAAGCTACCTACCAAACATCAATCCTGCCCCAAGCATCCAAACTCGGATGTCTAGGGGCGACCAATGACGAACCCAGCTGAAAATATAGGTGGGCCAGAGAGAGATGACAAACTAAATAATAATAAAAATATTTCGCACTCGTGTGCCATATAGTTATGTCGAATAAATTAGAACAAAGGAGTATTTAAATGTGAAAAAAGTCTACATAACCCCCAAACTATTCAGGGTGGACTACTTTACCCCATAAACTATAAAACCGAATTTTCTAACCCTCGAAACTTTCCAAAACCGGTCAAATAACCCCCAAGTGATTTTGGACGGTGGTTTGCTACAGTGACGTCGGTTTTGTCTTTTTCATTTTTATTTATTTCCGCTAAATCTTTGAAAAATCATACTAAATCACAGAAAAATCATAAAATAGAAAATACAATTTTGTTGGACTCCACATGAGTAGATCTACACAGTGAATATATAATATGGTATGTTTTAGTACAAAGTTTTTGCTGTAGCTTTAGATCTATGTTTTCTGTAATTAATTAGAATAATCCATAGCTGCAGCTTCTATGGTCCAATTGTGGTGAAATTTTTATGGTGGGCTGCAGCTATGAATTATTCCATTTAATTACAGAAAACTTTATACTAAATCATACCATATTATATATTCACTGTGTAGATCTATTCATGTGGAGTCCAACAAAATTGAATTCTCCATTTTATGATTTTTCTGTGTTTAGCGGAAATAAATAAAAAATAAAAGGACAAAATCAACGTCACTGTAGCAAAACCACCATCCAAAACCCGTCAAATAACCCCCGACCGGTTTTGGAAAGTTCAGGGTGTAGAAAATCCGGTTTTATAGTTTGGAGGATAAAGTAGTCCACACTTAATAGTTTAGGGGGTTATGTAGACTTTTTCCATTTAGATGTCATAGGTGAAGATGCATGGGCTGGTGGTACCTCTCAAAGAAAAGTAAACAATATTGATGCCCCCAAAATTCAGCACACATCAGATTATCCACAGAAGAAAAGACCAATCTGGCCAATTAAAAGAACAGAAGAATTAGTGACTAAATAATGAGCCATCAGATATTAAAAAATAGAGTATTATGCGAATCCATACCACTACTAAAGAACTATGGACCTATACGTCGATGAGGCACCCGAGTTGGCCTAGTCAAGTGAATTCTGCGATCTTCATGGCTTAGGAACGTCTTCTTGACTTTCTCACAATCAAATCCTCTAAAGATCCCCTTCTCATTGTAGCACCTTCCTTGATTGAAACTCGTACATGCAAAATAGATCTTCAGATCTAGGAGAAAAAAATCCGAATCATCACCTCATTGCTCCAAATCTCCAATCAAGGCATTTAGCAGCTCTGTACAGTACAGAAAATGAACGGTTGATGAAAATTTGAAACTGAAACTGAACCAATTTTACCTCTAGTGTTTGCCTTGTTGCCGAGAGGTACACCACGATCTCGGGCCGTCGCTGTTGCTCTTGCTCTACCCCTGGCCGCCGGCGCCGGCACCGGCAGCAGCGTTCCTCCAACTCCGATCCATACCGCCCCTGGCTCAGTGGCTCCTCTCCTTCCTCCATGGCCACATGACACATGAGGCAAGTCGCAGTCACCATCTTGCACATCCACGGGAGCTTGCCGGCAGGCGCAGGTCGCCGTCATCTTGGCCGCCGCTAGGGCTTGGCGCCCCTGCCAATGCCATCGCCGAGCGACCGAGCACCGAGCGGCGAGAGAGGCAGCGAGCACAGGAGCGGTCGTCGGTGTGAGCGAGCACTCGGCCTATTGAGGCGAATCACGACTTGCGCCAACCCAGCGGATCCAATAGGCAACGAGCTAGGCCCAAGTCTGGACATTTCAGCAGCTAGGAAGCCCAAAAAGGATCTTCTTCTTTTGACTATAGCAATTTTCCCGGTCATTCGATTTTATTCCCTCGTGGCCTCGTGACTACGAAAACAATTTTTACTTCGATTCCAATTTTGTCTACTATGACTCATTTTTAGGTACATGAATATTTTAATCATTAGATGTACTAGCAAATATGTCTGTGTGTTGTAACGAGAGAAAAAACTATCGAACGTTTATGGCAAACGATGACTGTAATCTCTAATTAAAATCAGCAAGAGTTAGTGTCAACCTGTTAAGGATTGATTACTTTTTTAACACCGTCAGGAGCATTAAAATATTATGTAAGAATTCAAGTGGACACCTCTATTGACTGCACGCTCATACGCGAATGAGACTGCATGCTCAGACACGAATGAGACTGCCCGAGTAGACTCAGAAGTTTTTTTAACACCGCTAGGACTACTTGAATATCATGTAAGAACTTAAGTGAGCACTCGTGCTGACTGCACGATCAGACATGAACAAGACTGCTCGAGCAGACTCGAAAAACGCCTACCAAGCACAACTCATGCACACTACACACACTACTCGACACATTCTTGGTCCCCTCAAGTTAAAAAAAAACCTGCGGCACCCTGGTTAGTCCCATATAGGAATCGAACCCAGGTGGGCTGGCTACACGACGATAGCCGCAGTCACTGGGCTATAACCGTGTTCGCATCAAGATTGATATGTTTGCCGGTGATTATGATTATACACTTTGCTCAATTTTTTACATGACAATTCTCATTGGGCATTGCAGAGATATATTTATTTAGACTGGATCATACTACAAATTGTTCAAGATTTCAAATCATGGTTTCATTATTAGCTGAACCATCGACTGTAGACTTTAATAAGAATAAGTTTTGTTTCTAATCATAACTACATCAATAGCTTAATGGTGAAAATCTTTATTTTTTTAGAAAAGACCAATGGTTCAAAAGTCCATCATCAACAACTTTGATGTTGAAAAAAAATGTTTTTAGAAAGGACTAATGGTTCAAAGACCTATAATGTTATGCATGTGCAGGGGTTTCTAGGGTTGCTTAGGTGATGTGTTGGGCTTGTGATAGCTAGGGTTTAACCTCTAGATGTTGAGTGTATTTATTGATTTGGAGATCAAACAAATCATGAGAAAAAGAGAGATACATTTCATGAACTTGGGCATGACAACTTATCTTTGAGATTGGGTGACCTTTAAGCCACCAAGATCAAGCATTGAACCTTGCTCTTTCTTGCTTCCAAGCAAAAGAGATGATTTGGCCTTTTCATGATTTTTCTTGCAAAACCATAGAAATGCCATTAGAGAAAAATCCAAGAGATTGAGAAGATTGATGGAGGGATGTCATTGAGCTTACACTAGAGATGAGAGGAGCATCTACAAGGCTTCATCTTGCATCCATGCATAGAGAGATTAAGAGTTAGGGTTGAGAGATGATTTGAAGAAATTGAGAAGAGAGTTTCTTAAGCTCACCAAGATAGAGATGGAGATGGGAGGCTTGATGTGCCTCTTGAAGCTTGAGAGAGAGATGCTGGTCGTCTCCTTCTTTTCTTTCTCTTCCTTCTCTTCTTCTTCTCTCATTTCTCTCTCTAGTTCACCTTGTTCATCCTTGTAGAGAGAGGGACGGAGTATTGCAAAATGAATGGATGTGTGACAGAGAGAGTGGGGGGATGAGTCAATTCTGTTGGTAAGTATATATCTCCTTTCTGTCGCAAAACCGCCTAATTTAATGTCCTCCAAAGAGTACTTATTTTTCATTAGACACTAAGTACCCAAGAGAGTGCACTAAATCATGTTGTTCCGTCGAGCACACCCCAAGGAAGAACTCGAAAATCCATATTTCTCCATCAGGATCATAAATAAGAGAATAAAGCTTATAACATTCTTAAGCCATTTCTTACATCACTTTATTACAGTAACAGAATATTACCTTAATTGATTATAACATAGTGAACATTTATATACGAGAGATGCTAGCAAATTTTATATATTTTCTTATAAAAACCTTTATTGAGGGCTATAAATAAACACTACGGTAGTAGCATGAAAAGAATCCTCTCTGAGCCCACTAGGAGGTTTCCACACACAAAAGTCAGCTATAGCATCCACATATCACCTGCAACCAATGTTTTCCTAAACGGTAAACGGTCTTTACATGGTCGTCCTTCGTTTAGCGTTTATGCTGTTTACACGGTGTTTAAACTGAAGTTAAACGGTCTAAACAGTTTTGTATTTTAAAAAAATACATATAATTATATATGTGCATGTAAAAAATCAAGTATTCTCGCATTTATACATATTTATCCGAGTAAAAATCAATTATTTTGGTATGTATATATATTTATGCATGTGAAAAGAACCAAATATAGATATTTATGCATGTAACATATCAAGTGTACATATTTATAAATATAATAAACTTAAGTATACAAATTTATCCATACAAAACTGAACTAGATTTACCTCGTGTTCATCTGAACGGCCATTTAAACATCGTTTAATACTGTTTATCTTCATTCCGTTTAGGCCGTTTACACCGTTTTTTTTTTCGTTTTTTGACCGTTTAAACGATCAACCGTTTAATTTCTGTTTACCCCCTAAACAAAATAGTTCACCACCGTTTACCATGTAGTGGCCGTTTATGCCGTTTAGGCGAACACTGCCTGCAGCAGGGGGAATTAAATCCTGAGTACTCGATTGTACTCGGCAAGACTTACCCGATAGGAGGAAAATAAAAGACTCCAAGAATATGCAAGGCTTATTTGGCTTGTGGGTTATTGCATCTGACGGAGGCATTACTAAACGTGCGTTCTTATATTAGATTTTATTAGCAGTCATCATTAGTTCATTAACTATCCATTCTATGTAAGCTCCAAGCCATTAGTTGTAATTTTATTGTCTATCCAGAAAAGTCAAAAAGTTATTGCTTCTATTATCCTAACAGACAAACAAAGTTTGTAGAAACAAGACATGTGTTCTTAGAGGATAATATGATCATGAGGGAGCATGGTAGCGTGAGAAATTAATTTTGAAGAGAAGCGGGTATACATGCCCACTCCGATGGTTTAGGAACCATTCTTCATGATACCTGTTGTTGTTGTACCAACGGTGCAAGACATTATAGTAATAACACCTATTGTTAGTTCTCCTGTGGCAATAATGAATGAACATGAGGAACCTGTCTTTTAGGATCCCTTAGAACACGTTGTCACACATGAGGATGAGCAACAACAGCCTCATATAGAATAAGCGTCATCTAAGGAGGCCCCTAGAAGGTCTCAAAGAGTCAGGAGATCAGCCATTCCTGAAGACTACAAAGTTTATAAATGTGAGGAATTTCAAATAGAGGGTGATTTCACCTCATTTAAAAAAGCCATGAGAAGCGCTCACTCATCAAAGTGGCTTGAAGCTATGGAAGATGAAATGAAATCAATGAAAACCAACGGTGTTTGAGACTTAGAAACAATTCCTAAAGGAGCCAAGACAGTAGGCTGTAAATGGGTCCACAAAACCAAACATGACTCCAAAGGGAATATAGAAAGATTCAAAGCGCGACTTGTGGCGAAAGGCTTCACGTAACGAGAAGGTATAGATTATAATGAGACATTTTATCCAGTCTCATGTAAGGATTCTTTTAAAATTATAATGGCGCTTGTAGCACATTACGATTTAGAATTATATCAGATGGATGTAAAGACGGTGTTCCTAAACGGGGGTCTAGAGGAAAATGTTTACATGGCACAACCAAAAGGTTTTGTTGTGGAAGGAAAAGAACGTATAGGATGTCGCCTAAATAAATCCATTTATGGATTAAAACAAGCTTCAAGACAGTGGTATTTGAAGTTTGATAGTACAATTAGAAAGTTTGGGTTTCAAGAAAATGTAGAGGACAATTGCGTTTATGCAAAGTTCAAGAATGGAAAATATATTTTCTTAATCTTGTATGTGGATGATATCTTGCTCGCTAGCAGTGATGTTAATCTACTACTAGAAACAAAGAAGTTCTTGTCCTCGAAGTTTGATATGAAGGATCTCGGTGAAGCTTCATTCGTCCTAGGAATAGAGATTCACCGAGATAGAGAAAATAGGGTTTTAGGATTATCACAAAAGGCATGCTTAGAAAAAGTTCTAAAGAAATACAGTATGCAAAATTATAAGTCTTCACCTGCTCCCATAGTTAAGGACTATAGATATGGAGGAATTTCAATGTCCCAGGAACTAATATAAGATCGATCAAATAAAAGCGGTTCTATATAGTTTAGTTGTTGAAAGTTTACAGTATGCTCAAGTGTGTACTCGTCCTGACTTAGCATTTGTTACCGGGTTACTTGACAGATATCAGAGTAATCCAGGAATAGAACACTGAAAAATAGTAAAGAAAGTTTTGCGTTACCTGCAAGGTACGAAGGGTCTCATGCTAACATACAGAAGATCTTATTTCCTGCACATAAAGAGGTATACATATTCTGATTATGCGGGAGATGACAGAAAGTCCACGTCAGGATACATATTCACTCTCGCAGGAGGAGCTATATCGTGGAAAAGCTTAAAGCAAACCATCACTACATCGTCCACAATGTACGCCGAGTTTGTAGCATGTTATGAGGCCACAGGGCAGGTTTATTGGCTGAAGAAATTCATGCTCGGGTTAAAAGTGGTGGACGACATACATAAGCCACTCAAGTTATACTGAGATAATAATCTAGTAGTATGTTATGCTCACAACAATAAGTCAAGTGGTGCTGCCAAACTGAAAGCTCTAGTTTGGTTTTGG